CCCACTACAACTAACTTTACTGAAAGATCAGGAATAATAATAATGAAAATTATATCATTAAATGAAGAAAATAAAGAAAAAGAAAGAAGTAATAATAAATAATAATAAAAAATCATTATTGACATTATTATTACTCAATACAGAGGTACAGGTACTAGTTGATAAGACAATAACATTAGATCAATTGAAGGAGGCACTAGTTCCATTGATTGGTGTACCACCTACTGGTTTTAGAGTGTGTGCAATCAGAAATAATAAAGAATATGAAATGGAGGGACTGTATAAGACATTAATGGATATTAAATCTGAATCAGAGGTATGATAGCTTATTGTTTTATTTTGGCTCTCTTCTCCTTTCCATCATACACTACTATAAGTACTAATAACACACACAAACTCATCTCTTTATTACTTTGTGTATCTACTAGCTGATAGTAAGACTGGGTAGAGCAATATTACAAGAAGGAGAGAAAAGAATCAAATTATATTTATTACAAGTTAACAATACTGAGGTACATGTACACGTATGAGAAAATTTATTATTATTATTATTATTATTATTATTATTATTATTATTATTATTATTATATTTTATTTTTTAGTTTTGTAGTTTTATGATGGAGTCTATTGTTGCTGAGGGTACATCAGTGGGAGAATTGAAGAAACAAATTATTGAAGAAGCAAAAGTACTAGGAATTGACTGTGTCCTTGAATTAGACAAGTAAGTATATCATGTGACTATCATGTGACTTATTGTGTAGAATGAGACTACGTAACAAGATTGGTGTGTACCCTGGTACAGTATATCTTGATCATCAGTTGATTAATACTTACGAGTATATTATGGACATGTACATGCACATGCACATGGGCATGTACGTGGATCTACAGGATGAGGATACTTATAGTAGGGAAATGCACTTTTATGTGGAACCATTGAAAGGTCAATATATCTCACTATGTTTTATGTATTATACTGTACTTTATAATTTATAGTAAGTTTATTTTTATTATTAGAACCAGAGAAGAAGAAGCATTATGAACAGAGACAGGTGTATGTGGTAAGATGGCGTCCATCACAATGTTCAGTTGATCCAATAGAAGAAATTATAGTAGATAATAGATATGATCCTAAGCATGTTATTGGAAAGGTATTATTTGAAATTATAATAAGAAAATATGTATCAGTAGTATCACATTATTATTGTTGTTATTGTTTTACAGCTGTCAGAATTAAGTGGAGTTCCTGCTGAATGTATCTATTATACAGCAGAGGTAAGTCATTAAAACATATCAAAGATTCTCCAGGCTCTCTCTCATTCTATTAGAGAATATTATTTCCAGTTG